CCATATAAATAATTAGACTACAAAAAGTCATCTTATGTAAATATCTCAATTTAAAGTACTTCCCACTCCTTGTAAGGAATCAGTGTATTATCTCTGAAGACACTTCAGTCATCTTCTCTCGTGAGCTGTGCAGCTTAAAACTGATGTTCTAAATTAGTAGTATTGTTTTTAAACTTTATTTTTCACAGCATTGGTGTTTTAAATCCTTAGAATATCTATGTTCTCGTCTTGCAAATAAATATCACATTTTTCCTTTTCATCTCGCTTCCACAGTCAAATTCTACAAGAATCCGCTGAGCAGACTAACAACTGGTTAGCAAAGGCATCATTCTTATTTTTCACCTCAGTGTTTTACACTCGTCTTGACTTCTAAAGATTTTCTGACTCTGCCTCCACTGTTTGAACTGAGAAAGGTGCTTTCTTTGTTTCCTTTGCAGCACAATAAAGTGGTTTATCAACAAATGTAAGTACTGAACATGCATTTACCTTAAGACGTGGCATTTGTGCAGAATGGATGCCAGCCGCTGGACTCCTTCACACTGAATATAGCATTGCTGTAGCGTGAGCTCTTTTACTGAATCACAGAACCCAACGACATGAGAGAGGACCGCACAGTCAATAGGGGTCAGTCGCAATTCATCAAAGTCGAGTACATCCACAGACCCCACTGTGGCCTGAGCCAGTGTTTTATTCTGAGACTCAAATAAATAGTGCAACACCCTCAGGAGGCTTCTTTTCCCAGTGAGAGTCGTTACTCTTCCAGCCAATCTGACAAGGGTATCCTTCATCCACTCAATCACTCCACGGGTTGTCTGATGAAAGAACGGACCCAGAAAACTCTCCAGGGGCTGCGCTGCCTGCGGGGAGGAGAGACCAGCAACAAAACGGAGAAATATTTCAAATCTCCCATCATCCTTGCTGTGGGCTTCACAGAGAAGATTCAGGATATTCTTAGGATGTGCAATCAGGAATTGTGCGAGGGCAGCTACAAACTCTTGGATGGTCAGATGTGGGAATGTGTAAACCACACTGCGGACAGAACTGTCTCTCTCCAAAAGTTCCATCATGAACCCAGACAGGAACTGGGAGGTTCGCAAGTTGTATTGGACCAGATGTCCATTTCTAAACACAATCCTCCTCTCACAGACTCCTGCGAACGCCATCTCACCAAGCTTCAGAAACACGTTGCGTGGGTCTTCAATCTCTCGGCCATGATTTTTCAGAATGTTGTAAATATAGTAGGAATAGAGCTGGGTGATGGTCTTGGGAACTTGCTGCTGTCTCCTGTCTTTTTGTGTGAAGAACGGACCCAGCGACAGCCCAAGGATCCAGCAGTACGAAGGGTTGTAGCACATAGTGTACAGGATGTCGTTCTCCTCCACGTGTTTGAAAACAGCTGCTGCCACTGTCTGATCCTGAAAAAACCTGTTGAAATATTCCTTCCGTTCGTCACCAACAAATCCCAGGATTTCAGCCCAGACGCTGATCTCAGCCTTTTCCAATAAATGGAATGCAGTGGGACGGCTGGTCACTAACACTGAACATCCTGGGAGCAGCTTGTGCTGAATTAAGCTGTACACAATGTCAGACACTTCACACCAGCATTCAGGATCAGTGTACATGGACTGAGGCTCTGCATTTCTCCGACTGTCAGAAAAATCAATATTGTCTTTGAATTCATTCAAACCATCAAATATAAACAGCAAACCCTCTGGGTTCTTCCACAGCTCTCCCAGAACATTCCCAAAGTAAGGATACTGATCCAGTATCATATTCTCAGGTTTACTCGACTGTTAATAGAGTTTAAATCCCGGAAATTAAAATTGAAAACAAATTGAAATTCTGGGGATATTTTCCCAGTGGCCCAGTCATAAACAATCTTTTGTACCATTGTCGTTTTTCCAATCCCTGGGACTCCGCTCACTGCTGCAGAGCTACCAGAGTTAGACTTTCTGTGAGAAAAGCTGCTGTGGAACAGTTGATCACTTTGGATTTTTTCCAGTTCATGACGGAGATGTTTCTCTCTCCACTCTTCGTGGTCTCGGCCTCTTGCCAGCAGTTCATTTTCTACGAGTGTCCGTTCTCGAACAGTAGAAATGACCGTTAGCTCAATGTATCGATCAAGCAGCTGGAAAACCTTCACTTTCTCCTTTATTAGGACAGTGTTCACTCTCAGTGTTTCAGTTTGCACCCGGAGCGTCTCCTTGTGTTTCTGCTGTACACCTTCAATTAGAACAGATGGAAAGCGGTTCTCAATGTTACTTATATTAACGTCAAAGTAAAATAAAAATGTCTCAATTTGCTTACATTAGACAGTGAAATGTTGCATTTAGTGCACAGATTCAGTATAGGTTTGTGTAGAAATTCAAACTCAGTTCATGAAAACGTCACTTGAAATTGAAGAACGGTTGAGAAAAATGATACAAATTCTTTTAGTTTTGGTAATTACTGAACATGGAGATTTCTACAAAGGTGATAATTTCCCTCCAATGGTTAATACATGATTAGATTTTTTTTTAAATTACACCACATTACAGCAACGTTATGTTTCCACATAATCAAAGTGAAAGAGATAGGGTTCAAAAAATGCTAACAGAAGTGGAAGGTTATCATTATCAAGGAAGACTGAATAGAACATAAAACATAGAACATCGAACAGTACAGCACAGTACAGGTGCTTCGGCCCATGATGTTGTGCCGAACTTTTACCCTCAACCTAAGGTCTATCTAACCTCCACCGCTACCTTATACTATCATCCATATGCCTATCTAATAGCCACTTAAATGCCCCTAATGAGGCTGACTCCACTACCCTCTCTGGCAATGCATTCCACGCCGCTCTGAGTAAAGAACCTACCTCTGACATCTCCCCTATATCTACCTGCACTCACTTTAAAACTATGCCCCCTCGTAATAGCTACCTCCACCCTGGGAAAAAGTCTCTGGCTGTCCACTCTATCTATACCTCTGATCATTTTGTACACCTCGGACTCATCTGACTCCAGGAGAGATAAGGGCGAGGTTCACATAATAAAGGTATTTCATATCATGAATATGATTGATGGACAGAGTAGATGCAATGTGGAGGTGAGCAGAGGTTTTCATTTAAAAATAAAGATGGTCGCTAACCAACCCAGAAAGTAATACAGATGAAACATCTTTACCCTACGCAGATTTAGAATGTGGACCTTACTTTGAAAGGAATCGCTCAGATGAATACATGGATGAAAGCTGGCTAAACAAACAGAAGGCTTACAGCAACACAGGGTAGAGAGGATATGCGAAAACATTTGAGCTGAATGGCCAGCTTCCATGGCACAGACCTAATGTCAACTTCGGGAGGCAATGACCTAGTGGTATTATCGCTGGACCGTTCATCCAGCAATTCAGCTGAAGTACTGGGGACCTGGGTTCAAGTCCCACCATGGCAGTTATGAATTCAATAAAGAACATGGAATTAAGACTAATGGCAACCATGAATCCATTCTCAATTGTTGGGGGGAGAAAAAAAACTCATCCAGTTCACGAGAGTCACAGAGATGTACAGCACAGAAATAGACCCTTTGGTCTGACTTGTCCATGCTGACCAAATATACTAAATTAATCTGGCCCCTTTTGCTTACATCTGGGCCCATATCCCTCTTAACTCTTCCTATTCATATATACATCTGACAGGGTTAGATCACATGGAATAGGGAAGGAAATTTGTTATCCTTACCTTGTCTGGTCTGCATGTGACTGCAGACCCACAGCAATGTGGTTGACTCTTAACTACCCTCAGGCATCAGCAATAAATGCTGGCCTGGCTAGAGACGCCCACATCCCATGAGTAAATTTGAAAATAGTTATTTTTGCAAAATCACTGGTTAGCTTGTAAGTAACAAGACTAAGCCTTGAAGCCTCAAGGAAGTCTGGCAGAAATTCAGCCTTGAACTTTCCAAATTTATCGAAAGGACATAATCAAATATGCCTGACTCAAAGCGTTGTTATCTTCAAATGCCAAGAGTGGACAGGGTTCCACATGCTATCGGGATCCTCTGTCTAAAATTCATACATAACAATGATCAGCAGGTTCCTTTGATGACATAATTCGACTCCCACACATTTACAGGAGAAACTGTATGAATTCTAAGTTGAATCTACGCAAAATAGTTGAGATTTGAAGGATGATCCAATAAATTAGAATTGTGTTTCCCAGCTTCTGAACTTTTGATTATCAGATTATAAAACTCCAAATAAATGGCTAAAGTCATCCATTCTCTTTTACAGAATTGAAATAAAATGGTTTGTTAATTACCTTTCAGATGACTGGGTGTTTCGGATAAACTTCGGACAATATCCATATAATGAATTGGATTACTACCTGTGCAGATTATTTAGATTTCATTAATTCAGATCTGTGTAATACTACAGCGAAATATGAAATGCTCCAATCTGAAATTAAATAGTGTGAGACTTTACTGTACCACGTTCTTGTATTTCTTTCAGTATTTTATCCAACTTTGGTAACCTATGGCGCATTTTTACAAAGGATTCCCACATCACTCTTTGGGCCTGAGAGCCTTTCTCCATCACCAGGCTTAGGAGAAGTTTGGAAATGTCCGCTCGGTTTCCCCTTCTCGCAAGCTCGACGATTGCCTGTAAAGAATAATCATTAATAGTGGAGTGAAACATAAACACTGTGAATGAGAAGGAAAGGATCTCCTTAGAAATGGGATTCCCCAGTTGTTCTGAGCCTGGAAAACAGTCACTGCACCATATCCTGATCCCGAGTGAATATGGATGAGTCAATGATAAACATCTTCTGGAAAGATGGGATCCGAAATAGGCTATTTCGCCCTTGAAGCATGGTCTGTCCATGAACTGTGCCTCAGGACAGCAAGCACTTACTGGGCCAACTATTGATCCATTCTGATCAGGAGCAAAACAGTGAAGTACAGAAGTCACCCATTCAGCCCCTCGAGCTTAACCTGTTCATCATTCAAAATTATGGCTCAGGATAATGAGCTTTTTTTTTCTGGAAAACACTTTGCTTGTTGGCCTCGTACCTTGTGCAAAGGCATACAGCCATTGCATAGGAGGACAATTATTTCAGCTCCAAACCCATCACTGTATCAGTTTCTTAGAATTGTGCCCTGGGACCCACTGTTTTCAACCACGTTGCAGTAAGCCCTGGATTGGGTTGACGAGTGGGAAGTAATGGTCACAGCACAGAGTTGTCAACAGATCACTTTCTGCAATAACGGACAACATTACCGTCTTCCTTTCTCACTCCACAGCACGACTACCTCTGGTTTACCCTCTGCCACACTGAACCTGATCCAAGCTCAGCGACCACTGATCAGGTGAAGGTAGGGAGATATGAGAAAGTGCACAAATTCTGAGGGGACACAGATTTCCAGCGGTGCAAGATTTTAAAGTTGCTAAGAAAATGTCTATCCGGATCTGCACGTGCTTGTTCTATAGTTTGTGGAGCTCAATATCATTCTCCCTGTGTTACTTGACTCGCGATGGAAGTGCACATTTGTTGTGGGTCCTCTGTCTCTGCACGTGCCCATTCGTGTGCGAAATGGGATGAATGGGAACAGTCAGTTCAGATGTCAAAACTGAATTGCAATTTAAACTGAGAGCAAGGCCTGTTTAAAAAGTTAATTTTGCAAAATCACTGGTTAGCTTGTAAGAAACAAGACTAAGCCTTGAAGCCTCAAGGAAGCCTGGCAGAAAAGGGGTGGCATGGTAGCTCAGTGGTTAGCACTGCTGCCTCACAGCTCAAGAGGCCTGGGTTCACTTCCCCCTCAGGTGACTGCCTGTGTGAGGTTTGCACATTCTTCCTGTGTCTGCATGGGTTTTCCTCCCACAGTCCAAAGTTGTGCAGGCTAGGTGGATTGGCCATGCTAAATTGCCTGTTGTGTTCAGGGATGTGTGGATTAGGTGTTATAGCTGTCGGTGGGATACTCTGAGGGTCAGTGTGGATTTGTTGGGCTGAAGGGCCTGTTTCCACACTGTAGGGATGGTATGAAATTCAACTTTGAACTTTTTAAACACACCAGCATGCATCAGAGAAAATAGGCCAAAAATTTAAAAATGAAACAAAAAGATCAGTTTAAGTGGAAGTAAATGAAAACATATAAATATTGGAAAATCTGTCCTATTTTCTACTGTAAAATGTTGAAGATCTTGTTGAAGCTGTGAAAGCCGACTTGTTCTTATGACATATGTAACAGATTTAGGAGACACTCGTGACTTCTTGTTTGTGGTCCTGAAAGCACTGAACTGCTGGTGCTTTTCTCACTGCATGTCCGTGTTTGTTGTAAATGAACTGATGACTGTGATTCATTAATATCTCCAATATTATTACAGCGTGAGACTGTCAGGATGTTGGAACACACTACTTTGGTCTTTTTCTTCATTCAGTATTTCCTTTGTTGTTATTCTGTAAATGTTGGGATTTATATCTATATTTGGAACTCATTCTATGTTCCCCCGACTTACCGAATGTTCTTTTCCACTGAAAATCTTCTGATATGTTAACAATGAGCTGACGCCATCCACCCCTTCTACAACTGCCTGTTCAATTCTGTCCCAGTAGAATTTCGTCAGTTGGAATAGCTGGTAGCTCTGACACTCTGTCAAGAATTTAGTGATTGTGGAGTCTGGATCTGTAAGCGCAAATAAAAATAAAACATATTATCACATTTCTAATCAGTTGGCTGTAATCCCTTTTATACTGACTAACTTAATATATGTGTAAACCGCATTATCAAGCACAGTCTTCAAACCTGTACAATCTACCTGTCCCAATTCTTCAAAATTAACCATATTTGTCAAACATTACTTACCTTTATCTCACCTGTAACAGCCTCCTCTGATCACCTCGTACATTGCTAAATTTCACTGATTTGACCTTAAAATATAAATTCCTGAGCTTCCTCACACAGCATTCTCTTTGTCCAAACAGTCATCCCTGAATACCTTTCAAAACGCATCAAGAAATATGATGTCTCCTTGTAACTTGTCCACACATTTTTTTTAAAAAACAAAACTCTCCTTTCATTCAGAAAGATCAACTTTGTTGGACCTTTAAAACGTCTGCCGCACATCACAATGATTTATACCTTGGCCATAAATTCTAACAGTGGACTGCAGAGAGACACAACTAGACTAAACTCGTGTGGAGACAGTGAAAGTGTTGAAACAAAGAAAATGCAGATTTCCGGTCTCTGAGCCTGGCTGCTAACAGGTCAGACATCTCAAAGTACATCTTTCTGACAGAGATGCTGAAAACAACTCTCCATCTCCAAGCATGTGGTCAATGGATTTGACTAGATGGGGGCAGAAACTCCTACTGAAACCAGAATACCTCATCATTGAGCACCCCCTGCTCACCCGCTTCCCCCCGACCCAACTCCACCATTATCCTTTGATAACCAACATCAGGGAAATTCACCACAGCTCGTTCAAAACTAAACCACTGTTTGTGGACAGAAGGTGAAGAAAATAAAGGGATTCAATTGGTCTCTATTCCTTGTCCATCACACGTTCCCATCTTCTAGCTGTCTCCACAGTTTGTATTGAAATATAACAACTGAACTCTCACTCAGTGTTTACCAACAGTGAAATTCTGTCATAATTTTTCACTCTGCTGAAATAGTGATAATTAGAGTCTGTTCCAATGAATCCCATGGAGATCTAAACACTGTCTTACAGCTAATATATCACACCATCTGGAAGACCAACTAAAAAAGGTAGATGGGAATGTCATTGAGATATGTTCCCCTCCAATTCATACACCTTCCAGACTTATGCAAATATTATCTTGCCTTCAGCGCAGGGTCAAAATCACGGAACTTCCTACCAAACCAACAGTTTCATCTCCAATTGCTTTATGAACTGCCTGATCTATACTAAGACCTGGATACTTCAAAACCTCCAATCACATTGGCTGACACTCTGCCAACTGATTCAAAGTCATTGCTGGTGGTGGATTGGTCCAGTTCATGGAGTGATCATACTGTCACTGGGCCCAAGCTAAAATGCTGGGACACAGCAGCTGGTGGCATCTAAGTTCAATTCATGAGTTGGGGAGCTGGAATTTAAAACCGAGACCAGAAACTATCACTCGCTGTTGTAAAAACCCATCTCATCCACTCATGCCTGAGGAAAGCCAAGACTTCTTTAACCAGTCTGGCCTGCATGTGACTCCACACCGACAGTCATGTGGTCAAATTGGAAACGCCCACTGAATTGGCCAAGCAAGTCACTCAGTTTGAGGACAATTAGAGATGGACAATGGTGCCAACATCCCATGAAAGATTTATAAAAATCCAAGCTGACCTTTCCCTTACGTCTGAACTTACTTCAGTTACACAAGAACACTTCCCTCCTGCTCAAGGCCTTAACCATGCATTGACCTGCCTTATATTCCCTTCCTCAAACACACCAGTGCAAAATGGTCCAGAATTCATCAACACCGAAGCCTTGTCTATTACATCTTGTGCTCAATTAGTATATTCCTTCTATAAACACAATGTTCTTTCCTTTGGTACAAGAGGGGTGACTTACCCTTCATGACATGGTCACAGCTCATGTCTCTCTAAGACTCCTTCTAATCTCCTGCATATAGAATTTCCAACTAGTTTCCTTTTCCTTGTTCCTTGGTCCTTCTCGCCGATGTCTCACTCAGGGTGGCCTCCTTGACGTCTCACTGTTGTTCAGGAAGAATCACTATCTCTATCCACCTTCCAGTCCCCATACCAGTTACCAGTTGGACAGTTCCAGTACTCAGGAGCTCCCTCTGCCTGTCACTGTGATAGTCCTTGATACAGTCACAGAGTCATACAGGGCAGAAAAGTCCCTTGGTCCCATCGAGTCTATACCAACACAACTACCACTAAGGGTGCGTTAATCCCAATTTCCTGCAATTGTCCCATATCCCTGAATGTTATGATATTTCAAGCGCTCATCCAAATTTTTTTTAAAGGTTGTACCTTCCCAGTCAGTGCATTCGAGATTGCCACCACCCTCTGAGTGAAAACGTCCTTTTCTCAAATTCCGTTCGAACCTCCTTCCCCTTATCCTAAAACTACAACACCTTGTGATTGACCCCCTCAACCAAGAGGAACAGCTGCTCTCTATTCACCCTGTCCATGCCCCTCATAAACTTATACACTTCAATCATGCCCCCCCCCACTGCCTCAGTCTTTGCTGCTCTAAAGAAAATAATCCAAGCCTATCCAGACTCTCATAGCTCAGTTGCTCAACCTCAGGCAATATCCTGGTGAACCTCTACACCCTCTCGAGTGCTATCTCATCCTTCCTTTAGTGAGGGAACCAGAACAGCACACATTATTTCAGCTGTGCCCTAACTAACGCCCTGTATAACTCCACCATTAACTCCCTGCTCTTATACTCTATGCCACAACTGATGAAAGCAAGTGTCCTATATGCCTTTTTAACCATCGTTGGTTAACCAACTCCTCTGCTGACTTCAGAGATCTGTCAATAATTACCCCAAGATCCCTCTGTTCCTCTAAGCTATCCAGGGTCCTGCCATTCATTAAATACTCCCTCATCTTGTTTCTTCCAAAGTGCATCACCTCGCACTTATCAGGGATAAATCCTCTGCCCATCTGACCGACCCATGCATCTCTTCCTGCAACCTACAACTACCTTCTTTGCTACTAACCACTCTACTAATCTTGGTGTCGTCTGAAAATTTGCTTAATATTTCGCCCCCACACTTTCATCTAAATCATTTATGTATACAATACACAATAAGAGTCCCAGTACTGAACCTTGTGGTACACCGCCAGACACCAGCCTCCAGCCACTTAAACAGCTTCCTACCACTACCCTTTGTGTCCTATCGCTGAGCGAGTTTCTGATCCATCTCGACAAGTTTCCCTCAATTCCATGTCGTTGAACCTTCTCAATCAGTCTCCCATGTGGGACCTTGTCAAAAGTTTTGCTAAAATCCATAGAATCTGCATCAACTGAACTTCCCTCATCCACACACAATCACATTTTCCAAAAATTCTAACAGATTTGTTAGGCACGACCTCCCTCTGTCAAAGCCATGCTGACCATCCCAAGTTAATCTATGCCTTTCCAAGTGGATATTAATTCTCTCCTTCAGAGTTTTCTCCAATAGTTTCCTACCACTGACACGAGACTCAACAGTCTTTCATTTCCTGGTTTATTTCTACCACCCTTCTTGAGAAGTGAAACCGCATTAGCTGTCCACCAGTCCTCTGGCACATCCCCTGTGGCCAGAGAGGATTTAAAAATTTGTTTCAGAGCCCCTGCAATTTTCTACCTCGCCTCCAACAGCAGCCTGGGATGCAATTCATCCTTTGTCTGTCTTCAAGCTCGACAGAGCCTTCCTTGGTCAAACGGTGCAAGTTCCTCACAGCCCCTTTTCTTGAATTCTGGAACTATGTTCTCCTTTTCCAGAGTGAAGGCCAAAGCTGGTTCCACACTTCCCTCTTTCTACACTGCCCATCTTGTTCCCTCTTCCTATCTGAGCTGCAGATTCTTGTGTGCGTTCAGGGGCCTGTTTCAAGACAAAAATGATATGTTACAGCAGCTTGTGAACCCACCTGTGTCCATTGTAACACTTTGTGGGAAGTTGGATCTTCTTCCCTGTTTAATCCTTCAGCAATGCTGGTGACAGGTGTTCCCTGATTCTGTGAGAAATATATATTCAGAAGGAGGGGTAGAAAGAGAATATTGCAGTGAGGCGAACATTGCTTGTTAAACAGAACAACATTCCCTTATTTCCCCTATCAGTAAATCATTGAAACTTACGCGGAACACTGCAGATCGTTTTTGTTTTGTATTCATTTACAGAATGTGGGCATCATTGGCTAGACCAGCATTTATTGCCCATCCCTAACTATCCTGATAACAGTTAAGATTTAACCACATTGCTGTGGGCCTGCAGTCATGTGTAGACCAGACCAGGTGAGGATAGCAGTTCCATTCCCTGAAGGACATCAAAGAACCAGATTGGTCTTTCTGGTATTTTTTTTTTCACACAGAGGGTGGTTCATGTGTGGAATGAAGTTCCTGAGGAGGTGGTGCATGTGGGTACAGTTACAACATTTAAAAGACATTATAAGTACATGAATAGGAAAGGTTTGGAGGGATATGGGCCAGGAGCAGGCAGGTGGGACCAGTTTAGTTTGGGATTATGTTCGGCATGGATTAGTTCGACCAAAGGGTCTGTTTCTATACTGTATGACTCTATAAACAATAACGTTTCAAGGTCATCATTCAGACTCTTAATTCCAGATTTATATTGAATTGCCACCGCGAGTTTCAAACCCAGATACCCAAGACATAATCTGGGGGATCTGGATTAACAGTCTAGCGATAATGCCACGAGGCCATCACTTCCTCATCTGTGACATTGACAACTGCCTTGTGAAATCCTGTCAGTCCCACTGGTCTCCACAACCCAATTCCAGATAGGCTCCCATCAGCCCAGACTCGAGACTGAGTGTTCACTGGCACGCAGTGCAAGGTAAAGCCAGACTTATTCCTGACACATAATATTCCACAGGGAATTCCAGAGGCACTGCAATGTGGGAGACTGTTAACTGGCTCTGAAGTGGCTGAACACAACACTCAGTCACATAAAACAACTATTCTAGAGTAATTAAAAACAAAAAATTGGATGGATCACTAAACATTGACTTGGACCCCAGAGATAATGATAAACTGCCCAGTCAACCCTGCATGGACCTCTACTCAAATCTAGGAACTAGCAAGTGGAGACAAAGTCCTGTCTTCACTTTGGGGACATCTCCAATGTGCACTACCACGATGCTAAGCAGGTCGGACCCAAAATAGATCCAGCAACTGAAACCTAGACAAACCAGAAGGCTTGCTGTAGGCCATCAGCACAGAGGAACTGCACACAACTATAGTCTATCATGTCACGAGCTGACAGATCTCACCACTCAGCTGTGGGACCAGCAGTCATTGAAGGAAGAGATCAGGAGAGCAGGTCAGGAGACAACAAGATGTCGTGAGAAATGAGATACAAGGCTGGTGAATACAAACCATTAAACTCCATATCAAACAATAGCACAGGCTGCATAACAAACACACTAAATATGCACTGACTGAGC